AGCCCTAAATTTAGTTATTAATTTCGGCGCTAGGGATGGAACACAGGGGCTTGTTGAGCTACACTCCAAGCCCGGTTTTGTTCCCTACATCTTGTCTTGGGACACATTTCCCTTTCTTGGCTAGTTTGGAGTCCTGTGCGGAGCTGGAGCAGAGGGGTTTGAGCCCGGTTCTCCCTGCTCCCCAGCCGTGGCGTTGAAGGTATCTTAGGTCCACCTTCCAAACTTGCACTCCTGCAGCAGCGCTGCCTTCTGGTCTGATCTGCAGTGACAGTGCTTCCGTCTGCAGGCACAGCGCTTACATAAGTGGCGATTGCCTGTCAGTGCTGCAGCTCATTTGTGAGGGCATGAGGCCTCGGGCTGGGCAAAGCATGGGAAATGCTCACCTTCCTAAGGTGGAGTAGGGCCGGGGATATAGCTCAGCGGCACAAGCGCCTGCCTGGCAAGCGCAAGGTCCACAGTTCAATTCCCGGTACTGCCCCCCACCCCCCAAAAATGAAAAAGTACCTAAGGTGGAGAGGAAGGAACCAGCCAGTGGGTCAGCCTGGGTGTCTGTCCAGGAGTCAGGTTAGTGTTTGTCAGGCATTGTCAGACTGGGTTCCAGAACTCCCATCAAGGTTCATCCAGTTTAGTGCATTCTTCAGATAACTGCATTTCGAGTTGGTTCTTTTCCCCAGAGTTGTGCTGTTGACAGGTTAGCCCTGATAATCAGCTAGATTGTGTGTGTGTGTGTGTGTGTGTGTGTGTGTGTGTGTTGAGGCTGATGTTTAGCAGCATCACTGGACTCAGTAGCACCCTCCTTCCCCAGCTGTGACAAAGAAAAATGTCTTCAGACATTGCCACCGTTTCTCTGGGGCCAAATCGCTGGTGGTTAAGGAGAGAAGGCAGACAGCCGCTGTCTCCCTGGCTTCTCCTCTTCCTTTCCCCTCCCCGTCCTCTCCTGTCCACTGCCCACTGCTTTGGCTGCGGCTGCCCCCTTGGGAGGTTTCCTGACGAGGGGCGGGCGGAGGACAGATTTCCTAACAGAGGGAAAAGCATTCACAGCCACAGCCTCAGCAACGAGAAAGATCACGGCTGAATCATTCTGTGTGCTGAAGGTGGAGCTCAAACTGCTGGAGAGGGGTGCAAGATGCAGGCAACTGAGAAAGGAGTTGCGGGGCCTCGTGACCCGTGTGGGACTGGGCTTTGTCTTGGTGTGGGACACAGGGCAGAGGCGTGGCCGTCTGTCATGAGGGGAGCGGACAGGATGCGGAAGACCAAATAAGATCGTGCACGCATGGTGTCCGGCAGGCGGGAAGGGGACAGTCAGGCAGGGCTCTCTCACCTTGCTTTTCTCCCTCCTTCCTCTCCTGCCTCTTCCCTTAGTCAGTAATGTAGTCCTTTCCCTCTCCTCAGTTCTTCCTTCCTTCTCTCACCTGGGCCTACTGGTTCTGATCCTGCCTTCCCTCAAACTTGCAGTGATCCTCCTGCCTCAGCCTCCTGAGTGTGCCACCACGCTGGGCCATTTTTGTTTTATTGTTTTGGTGCAAGCACTTGACCCTGAGCTACTCTGCACCCCGACATCTGGCCCACCCTGCCCGCCTCGTCAAGCCTCGGGGGGTGGCAGTATGAGCGAATTGGGGCCACTTGCACGCTGCTGAATTGTGCTGTCTCCTCTGCCACAGAACTTGAAGAAGAGCTGGCACCCACAGACCCTGCGCAATGTGGAGAAGGTGTGGAAGGCCGAGCAGAAGCATGAGGCCGAGCGGAAGAAGATCGAGGAGCTGCAGCGCGAGCTGCGGGAGGAGCGGGCCCGGGAGGAGATGCAGCGCTATGCGGAGGACGTGGGTGCTGTCAAGTGAGCCAGTCACACAGCGGGGTGGCGGGGCCGGTGGGGCTGGCGGTGTTGCGTGTGTCTTGAGTTGGTGCCTGGGTCTTGGAGGCAGACTGGCCTGTCTTTAAAGAGCGGCTTTGCAGTGCCAGAACTGCTGCTCGGTGTGGGATTGGGACCTCTGTAGAACCTGGGAAGTCAGAGCTCCAAGTCCTTAGGTCTGCTGAGGACCGGGTAGGAGGGCTTCTCATGGACCTCGCTCCTGGGGGTGGTGACAGACACCACGACTGAAGAGGACTGTCTCCACCCTACCAGCAGGGTGTGCAGGCTTCCGCCTCGCCTTTGTGAATGCATTGACAGCTCACTCTAATTGTATTTATTTTTGGGTTTTTTTTTCTTCTGAGACAGGGTCTCACTGGCCTCATATTTGAGGCTATCCTGCCTCAACCCCCTGAGTGCTGGGATTACAAATGTGTGCCACCACACCAGCTTTGCAGGCTCACTTGACTGGCTGTGAGGGTCCAGGGAAGAGGTGAACCATGTGTCTGTTGATAAAAGCTGTGTGCAACAGGCATGGCAGTGCACCCCTGGAATCCGAGCACTCAGGAGGCTGAGGCAGGAGAATCGCCATGAGTTTGAGGACAGGCTGGGCTACATTGTGCGTTCAGAGCCAGCCTTAACTACATATTGAGACCTTGTCTCAAAAAACCAGAAAAATAAAAATAAATAAAAGCCGTGTGACTGGGGCCTGTCCCATGGGTTTCCCCATTGGCCAGCTGCCTTGAGTACAATAGATGATAGTATACTAGGACAGACATAATAATTACCCTATCCGTGGTATCAAAGGAAATTGGCATAAATCTACTCTGAGAAAATACACAGGTCGAACTGGGGCTATGCTCTGTGATAGAGCACTTGCCTAATACGCATGAGGCCCTGGGTTCCAGTACTGCTCTCCCTGACATAAAAAACAAACAAACAAACAAAAAACCAAAAGCAAAAAAGCACCAGAATGCCACAGAACTGCAGCTGGGCTACGTTGAGTGATGTGTGCTGTCGTTGCTTGGTCTGTGCCCCGTTTGTGGCCAAGGCTGGAGGGTTGTGTGTGGCACACTGTCGCTGTGGGGTATGCGGGGCTTTTCCTTCCTAATCTCACCACTGGAGGATTTGTGGCATTTACCAGTGTGTGTGTGTAAATTTAGTTGTAATTTATGGAAATGGCAGTATAAAACTTAAGCAGTGCAAAAATGTTCTTTTAGGAAAGTGGGCTGGGGGAAGGGTTGTTCGGATGTCCTGAAGTGAATGGAGTTACCTGGGCATGGTGGAGCACACCTGTAATCCCAGCACTCAGGAGTTTGAGGCCAGCTGGGGCTATATAAGTGAGCTTAAAGCCAGCCAGCCTACATAGTGAGATCCTCCTGTCTCCCCCCCCCCCGCAAAAAAAAGTGAATAGAGTTTTAGAATTTTTAAATAAAATACAACTTATTTCAGGGGCTGGTACATAAAATGGAACAAGCGAATGAAATTTTGCAAGTAGAGCTATTCTTTGTTTAACGACATGTCCGTTTGGTGACTATTCGCTAAACATGAAATTTAGTTCTAATTCATGGAAACTTTTGTGACCCAAATTTTGTGTAGAGTTCTGTACATCTTGTTTATAGAGCCTCGATGTCTTTTTTTGCACCTTGTTTTTCCAGTGGTAGAGCTTTTGCTGATTGTGCTGTACAGTAGACTGCCACTGTTCTATTTTATTTATTTACTTATTTTTGCTGTTTTACATTACAGTGCTGCATGTTACAGTTATGCAGATCAAAGTCGAGTCATCCATTGGAGTTGCCGATGACCATTTCTTTGTTCTGAATATTGTAGTGTACATACTACATACAAGTCCTCATGTAGCAACCAATTCATTTAATGACTGAGCTGCAGGAATGTCACTTGGTTGTTAAATGAGGAGTGTCTGTATGTAATTTTACTTTATATAGTTTATGTAACTTACATGTGCTATATATAATGTGAATAAACTTAACGGATCGGAGGTTGTAGGGAACTCCTGTGTCTCTTGGTGTACCCCTGGGAAGAACAGCGGTGGTATGAGGAAAATAAAACAGGAGACAAAAGCTGGAGTCAGGTGGAGTAACCTCTTTACCTTGGGGGGCCACAGGACTGAACAACAGTAGTAGGGGCGATAATTTATACTCTTGCAGAGTTAGTATCAGAGAGGCAGCATTGCCTAACAACTAAGGACTGAAGTGGTTCAGGCAGGATGTTTTTCTCAAGACTGAGGCAGCGTAACTGCTTGAAGCGCTGGGTCAGTCCTGCCCTCACACAAATGACCCATTTCCAGCTCCAGACACTCCCAACAAGAGGTAAATCCTGGGTAGTTTATAAAGTGCACATGAATTGTGGTATATGAAGATTTAGATTTGTGAACTCTTGATTTGAAAGTATATTGACTTTTTTTTTGTCTTTTTTTTTGTGTGTGTGGTACCGGGGATCGAACTCATGACCTTGCCCTTGCCAGGCAGGTGCTTACGCCATTCAGCTATAGCCCCAGCCCCTTTTTTTGTCTTTTTGAGACAGGGTGTCACTGTGCAGTTCAGGCTGGCCTTGAACTCACTTTGTAGCCCAG